GGGACATTAGGCTTAAGGGTTAGGTTTACGGTTAGACTTAGGGTTAAGGGTTACGTCTTACCTGGTTAAATAAAAGTTAAATAAATCAAGTAAAATAGCGAAAATAGGATTTTGAATGGGAATCAATTATTTGGTCCCCACAAGAAAGTAAAACAAACATGTGAGTGTGTGTAGGAAACAGTTCATAATTACAGAGCCTCAGACAGACAGACAGTTTCTGGTGGCTGATGATGGTACTATAATCACAGGTTGCAAAATAGAAAGAGATACCCCCCCTCCCCTCTCTCTCTTGCTCTCTCTCTCCCTCCCTCCCTCCCTCCCCTCTCTCTCACACACACGCATATTCACAAATGGTATACAAATGTGCACACATACAAACACCCACACAGCAGATGTGATGGGATCCTACCGAAAATAATTTCATCATCACAATTCCCTTCCACATGGCAATGAATTAAACAGTTTGCCGTTTGCGCTTGATGCATTTAGGTTTGTACAGTACTGTGGATTACAATAAAAATATACCTTCTATCTCTTACCACACTCAGGATCAGGATGGGTTTCAGATGATGGGAGAACTTGTTCAATCCTATCCTTTTACAACCCTAAAACAGTCCCACAGTATACAGAGAGATGAAAGAGAGATCTGTGTGACTCCCCTGGTTAAATAAAGGATAAATAAATGAATTCACAAGGTCGTGATTTGGATTAAGTCCATTTTTGTCTTAGATTTGGATAAGCAAGTTGGTAAAACGTTACGCAGTTGACATTTAGATTTGTATAGTGTTCTGAAAGTGAGCGCAGCAGGCATTTTTTCTTCACATTGATGGGTTTCCCCATGCAGTATTCATATATCTGAGACAATAACACAAGTACGCGCACACACACACACACACACACACACACACACACACACACACACACACACACACACACACACACACACACACACACACACGTCAACACAGTATCACAGGCTGCATGGCTGTACCACAGAGCTGAGCAGCTCTCTCCCCAGAAATGAGGTTAAATGCACACTTATGTAAATTAATCAAAGTAATGAGCATCATACAAGGAACAAGAGCTATAAACCATGAGGTTATTTTTCCATATAAATGTCCTGAAGCAGGCTAGATCCTCCTATACCGTGCGCTGTGGGACAAGTACAGGGATTGCAATGAAACAGTAATGTAAGCAAACATGAGGAAAATGATCCAATCAAGGTATTGCATGTTAGGAATCCTCAAGTGTGAAAATATACCTATTCCTTATTGCATTGTTATTTATATAATATACACTGAGTGTACAAAACATTAAGAACACATCCTAATATTGAGTTGCATCCCTTTTTGCCCTCAGTACAGCCTCAATTCGTCGGGACATGGACTCTACAAGGTGTTGAAAGCGTTCCAAAGGGATGCTTGCCCATGTTGACTCCAACGCTACCCACAGTTGTGCCAAGTTGGCTGGACGTCCTTTGGGTGGTGGACCATTCTTGACACACACGTGAAACTGTTGAGTGTGAAAACCCAGCAGCGTTGCAGTTCTTGACACAAAACGGTGCGCTGGCACATACTACCATACCCCGTTCAAAGGCACTTGAATCTTTTGGCATTCCCATTCAACCTCTGAATGGCACACATACACAATCCATGTCTCAATTGTCTCAAGGCTTAAAAATCCTTCTTGAACCTGTCTCCTCCCCTTCATCTACACTGATTGAAGTGGATTGAACAGGTGACATCAATAAGGGATCATAGCTTTCACCTGGATTCACCTGGTCAGTCCATGTCATGGAAAGAGTAGGTGTTCTTAATGTTCTGTACACTCAGTGGATATGAGGTATAATGTTTGAAATAAAGTAACACACATATTCACATAGTTTATTCCTTTATTCTGTTACAAAAAGCATGATGACTTTCTTCAGAGACACTTTGGTTAGAAAATGTTTATTTCTCAAAAGTTTATTTCTGTCTTTTTTTAATTCATGAATGATCTCCATGTATTTTGTGTTTTATTCAGCAACATCTTTCAGTAGTGATGTATAGAAAAACAACTATACTGTGAGGTTTTCAGGTGAACAAACTAAATAATCACTTTATATCCTTGTATTAAAATACTTTGAAAAAAAGAAGAAATGAAGAAGAAAAGTCAATCTTAAACACCTAAAAAACTCAAACTGAACATCCCTTTTATTCAAATGTAAATTAAATCAAAATAATATTGATTTAAGTTTTACTTTTAATTGGTTAAAACATTATTGTCTACACATTATTCAACATCTGGTTTTTCTACACTTTTTCAAAGACAATTTTTTGCAGCTCTCAAACTCTCTTTTTAAAAATCTGTTAGGGCATATAAAACATATCCTTCTCCGAGACAAACCGTCCGCCAAGGACTCACGTTGTGCTGTGCCTTCGTCAATACAACACCAACGAAATAAAGGAGAAGAAAGAGAGAAAGAATAGAAGCTTCAGAGTCAGGTACAGATGGCTGATTGGGTCAGAGAAGGAAAGAAACAGGTTTCACTGCAGGAGAATCAACTATTTTATATACATAGTGGATGGAGAGATGAGATACAGTATATATGATGTAAGCAGTCTATCTCTGCCCAGTATCTGTCTTCACTGTCAAACATGTTCAAGAGTGAAAGGTTGTTCCATGTATAGCACTGCATCCTACACTATGGCTATGGCAGAAAAACAGTCTGACACAGTTGCGTCAGTGTTGAACGCTCTCTTTATGGCAGATACCCACACAAATAGAGCCAGAGCAGAGTTGGAGAGTGTAGCTAGCAAATGTTCCCTTTGTAGCCGTAGGCAGACTGTCTCTGACTCTGATTCCAATATCCTAACGAGGCTTTTCTCTGCTGCCAGCCCTATAGGCTACAGCAACACGTACAATGACCTAAACATCAAACGATACTGAACAACCTCCATCATAAAATAACAAACTACTGAGAAAGAGAGAGAGAGAGAAACAAGATGGCTTGGTGTGGTGTTAACCCCCGTTTCCATGGTTTCCAACGGCTGATTGACTGTGAACGTGTAAATCACGCTCCCTTCGTCTGTCAGCTAGGCTGTGTTCCAAAATGGCTACTCTCTCTCTACAAAATAATACAGTGGAGCCACTGAAGAAATCAATGGTGTTAATCTGTGGCACTTTGTCAAGTTCTGACCATGTCAGTCAATACTTCCTCTCTTCCAAATCTAGCCACACCAATCATTCTAGGTAGTTTGATAAAGCGACAGTGTGTGTGTGTGTGTGTGTGTGTGTGTGTGTGTGTGTGTGTGTGTGTGTGTGTGTGTGTGTGTGTGTGTGTGTGTATATGTGTGTTTAGTGGCATGGTGTGTTTATTGGCATGGTGTGTTCAGTGGCATGGTGTGTTCAGTGGCATGGTGTGTTCAGTGGCATGGTGTGTTCAGTGGCATGGTGTGTTCAGTGGCATGGTGTGTTCAGTGGCATGGTGTGTTCAGTGGCATGGTGTGTTCATGGTGTGTTTAGTGGCATGGTGTGTTCAGTGGCATGGTGTGTTCAGTGGCATGGTGTGTTCAGTGGCATGGTGTGTTTAGTGGCATGGTGTGTTCAGTGGCATGGTGTGTTCAGTGGCATGGTGTGTTCAGTGAGGTGTAGCAGCAAAGCATGTTTGTTGAGGAGAACACGACACAGCTAGTTAAGCATCAATTTAAACGTCTTTCACCTGTGCGATCAGGACAAATTAAATCAAAAACCTATTCAGGGATCAATCTCTGTGGGAATGACTGTCAGCAGATGGTTCAGGGAGGCCAGCGATGACTGAGCTCTGTGCATGATTATTCATGTCTGTATTATAAGACTGCATTGGTGCTTGATATGCTTGTGTTCCAGTTCATGATGCCTTTCCAACATAGCGTGTGTAACTGTGTCCAAAAACACACGAGAGAGAAACCAGAGCCACACAAATATCAAATCATCTTAATAATCAATCAGCATTATTAACATTATTGTCTTTTAACTGTGGAAAGACAAAAATAAACCCCCATTTTGTGATCTGTCTTCACTAAGTAAATGGTCAGAGAGAGTAGGTAGCAAACTGAGATATTACAGACAGACAGACAGACAGACAGACAGACAGACAGACAGACAGACAGACAGACAGACAGACAGACAGACAGACAGACAGACAGACAGACAGACAGACAGACAGACAGACAGACAGACAGACAGACAATAGTCAAGAGAACGACATGTCAGGGAAGAGGGCATGTCAGAGAAAGTCAGGTCAGAGGGCAGGGCAGAGAAGGTCATCCCAGGGCACGGCAGAGAAGGTCAGCTCAGGGCAGGACAGAGAAGGTCAGCTCAGGGCAGGGCAGAGAATGTCAGCTCAGGGCATGGCAGAGAAGGTCAGCTCATGGCAGGGCAGAGCAGAGAAGGTCAGCTCAGGGCAGGGCAGAGCAGAGAAGATCAGCTCAGGGCAGGGGAGAGAAGGTCAGCTCAGGGCAGGGCAGGGCAGAGAAGGTCAGCTCAGGGCAGGGCAGAAAAGGTCAGCTCAGGGCAGGGCAGAGCAGAGAAGGTCAGCCCAGGGCAGGGAAGAGAAGGTCAGCCCAGGGCAGGGCAGAAAAGGTCAGCTCAGGGCAGGGCAGAAAAGGTCAGGTCAGGAATGGGCAGGCGGCATTTATGGGATAGTTATCTCTTTTTTTACACAGAAAGTTTCAAAAAATCTGAATAAAAGAAACAAAAAACATCACGTTCCAACAATGGCTCCTTTTTGCCTAATTTTCTTGTTTTTAATTTTTATACTCCATCTACATTTTCCCCCTGTTCGTAGTGAGTGATCTCAAAATGCATTTGGCAGTAGTATTGAAGTCTGTCTCGGACACACAGCACGCAGCCACCACACAAACAAATGGGTCAGAAAGACGGCCATGTTCATAAGGTCAATGTCACCATAATTGTGGCCATCTTTGTAAGGTCTATGCGTGAGTCTCCTGCTCAGCCCCTTGTGACAGGTCATGTGATCACATGCCGGAGGCGCTGAGCCCCATGCTGGCGGTGTGGCTCATGCAGGGGAGAGTTAGGATGCGTCCATTTTCTCCTCCTCCCCCGTTCCCGTTCCCGTTCCCGTTCCCGTTCCCATTCCCGCCCATTCTGGTCATGGTGGAGCAGTGCATGGCGTCGTTGATGTTCTGCTGCAGATAACAGAGAGAGAAGATGGCAACAGAGTTGGACAACAAGACAAGACGACAGTCACAGCCATGCATGCATACTGTATATGGGCTCCCAGTAATACTGGTCATCTAAACAGATGTTAGCCCTACCAGGTAAATACTGTCTATGGGCTCCCAGTAATACTGGTCATCTAAACAGAGGTTAGCCCTACCAGGTAAATACTGTCTATGGGCTCCCAGTAATACTGGTAATCTAAACAGATGTTAGCCCTACCAGGTAAATACTGTCTATGGGCTCCCAGTAATACTGGTCATCTAAACAGATGTTAGCCCTACCAGGTAAATACTGTCTATGGGCTCCCAGTAATACTGGTCATCTAAACAGATGTTAGCCCTACCAGGTAAATACTGTACATATCTCCTGGGTATTTAGACTCTAACAAAGACAAGAGGATAGGCTGGTGTAATATAACAATAATGTAATAAAATATAACAATATCATAGTATTATAATACAGTAGAATAATATTGTATTATATTATAAGTGTCTTGTAATTTGCTGAAGTTTCAACCACAAGGTCTTTATTGTATCAACAGCCCTCCATTTGATCCCCTTGTATTTGATTTGTCCACAGGAATACTGGAATACACAGCCCTCCATTTGATCCCCTTGTATTTGATTTGTCCACAGGAATACTGGAATATATTAACAATATTAGTTGTGTGAATGAATGTGTAACTAAATACAGGCATATATGAATAGGCTAGAAGCAACTATCATGTCTCCATTATGATGGTAACTGTTTGGCAGAAAATGGGTGCATCCATTTACATTTACATTTAAGTCATTTAGCAGACGCTCTTATCCAGAGCGACTTACAGTTAGTGAATACATTTTTTTTTTATACTCGCCCCCCATGGGAATCGAACCCACAACCCTGGCGTTGCAAACGCCATGCTCTATCAACTGAGCTACATCCCTGCCGGCCATTCCCTCCCCTACCCTGGACGACGCTGGGCCAATTGTGCGCCGCCCATGAGTCTCCCGGTCGCGGCCGGCTGCGACAGAGCCTGGATTCGAACCAGGATCTCTAGTGGCACAGTTAGCACTGCGATGCAGTGCCTTAGACCACTGCGCCACTCATTAAAATGTATTGTAGTGATACCATTTATTTATTTTTCGGGATATAAATACTGAGTATGTCCACTTTACCGTCAGACCATTTTATTGGTAAACTACACGGTAATGTAAAAGTTGTATTTTTTAGTGATCCAATACGTAATATAGTACACATCATAATTTGGTTGTAATACAGAGAGGTTAGAAAAATTATCTAGATCCTCTATAAGGCTGTGGAGGGATCCAAATTGTGGATTTAAAAGAAAACATGAATCAGCATACAATGACACCTTTGTTTTTAAGCCTCCCAAATGGTACCCTATTCTCTATAGAACCCTATGGGCTCTGGTCAAAAGTAGAACACTATATAGAGAATAGGGTGCCATTTGGGACACAAAGTGTTATCTTTTATCGTCTTTATCTAGCTACTGACTGTTACTGGCGCGGAGCAGTAAACCGCTCTGATGGCTCCCAATTTGCAGGGAAAGAGGAGAAGGCAGCTAAACTCTGAGCGGCGATGGTAGAACTGAATCTCTTTCTGTCTTTGGCCTCATTGCTCTGAGCTACAGTCTAATACAATAAAAAGCCAATGGGGCTGAAAGTGGAGCTAATGGTGTGTGTGTGTGTGTGTGTGTGTGTGTGTGTGTGTGTGTGTGTGTGTGTGTGTGTGTGTGTGTGTGTGTGTGTGTGTGTGTGTGTGTGTGTGTGTGTGTGTGTGTGTGTGTGTGTGTGTGTGTGAGTGTGTGTGTGTGCGTGTGTAACTCCTGTGTGTGTGTGTGTGTGAGTGTGTGTGTTTGTGTGTAACTCCTGTGTGTGTGTGTGTGTGTGTGTGAGTGTGTGCGTGTGTAACTCCTGTGTGTGTGTGTGTGTGTGTGTGTGTGTGTGTGTGTGTGTGTGTGTGTGTGTGTGTGTAACTCCTGTGTGTGTATGTGGCAGCTAGCTCCTGACTTTCCTGTGTCCTCCGTATATAAATGATTTAATTCCAGTGCAACCTGAGCGTGTGGGAAGAATTAGGCTACAACGCTACACTACTATAATTGGTTGGTTCTCAAAAGCAGTGTGTGTGTGTGTTTGTATGGTGTTCTAGAGCTGCTATCAGGTTCTAATAATAAAAACTACTGTCAGTCAACCTATTGTTTGTTACGATATACAGTACCAGTCAAAAGTCTGGACACACCTACTCATTCAAGGGTTTTTCTTTATTTTTACTATTTTCTACATTGTAGAATAATAGGGAAGACATCAAAACTATGAAATAACACATATGGAATCATGTAGTAACCAAAAAAGTGTTAAACAAATCATAATATATTTTATTTTTGAGATTCTTCAAATAGCCACCCTTTGCCTTGATGACAGCTTTGCACACTCTTGGCATTCTCTCAAAAAGCTTCACCTGGAATGCTTTTCCAACAGTCTTGAAGGAGTTCCCACATATGCTGAGCACTTGTTGGCTGCTTTTCCTTCACTCTGCGGTCCGACTCATCCCAAACCATCTCAATTGGGTTGAGGTCAGGGGATTGTGGAGGCCAGGTCATCTGATGCAGCACTCCATCACTCTCCTTCTTGGTACAATAGCCCTTACACAGCCTTGAGGTGTGTTGGGTCATTGTCCTGTTGAAAAACAAATGATAGTCCCACTAAGCCCAAACCAGATTGAATTCTAAATCAATCACAATGTCACCAGCAAAGCACCCCCACACCATAACACCTCCTCCTTCATGCTTTACGGTGGGAACTACACATGCGGAGATCATCCGTTCACCCACACCGCGTCTCACAATGACACGGCGGTTGGAACCAAAAATCTCAAATTTTGCTTGTGTTTCTTGGCGCAAGCAGGTCTCTCCTTCTCATTGGTGTCCTTTAGTAGTGGTTTCTTTGCAGCAATTTGACCATGAAGGCCTGATTCACACAGTACCCTCTGAACAGTTGTTGTTGAAATGTGTCTGTCACTTGAACACTTTGAAGCATTTATTTGGCCTGCAATTTCTGAGGCTGGTAACTCTAATGAAAAAATCAAATAAATAAATAAAATACTCTAATGAACTTATCCTCTGCAGCAGAGGTAACTCTGGATCTTCCATTCCTGTGGCGGTCCTCATGAAAGCCAGTTTCATCATAGCGCTTGATAATTTTTGCAACTGCACTTGAAGAAACTTTCAAAGTTCTTGAAATGTTCCGTATTGACTGACCTTCATGTCTCTTTGGACTGTCATTTCTCTTTGCTTATTTGAGCTGTTCTTGCCATTATATGGACTTGGTGCTTTACCAAATAGGACTATCTTCTGTACACCCCCCCTATCTTGTCACAACACAACTGATTGGCTCAAACGCATTAAGAAGGAAAGAAATTCCACAAATTAACTTTTAAGAAGGCACACCTGTTTATTGAAATGCATTCCAGGTGACTACCTAATGACGCTGGTTGAGAGAATGCCAAGAGTGTGCAAAGCTTTCATCAAGGCAAAGGGTGGCTTTTTGAAGAATCTCAAATATATTTTGATTTGTTTAACACTTTTTTGGTTACTACATAATTCCATATGTGTTATTTCATAGTTTTGATGTCTTCACTATTATTCTACAATGTAGAAAATAGTAAAAATAAAGAAAAACCCTTGAATGAGTAGGTGTGTCCAAACTTTTGACTGGTAGTGTATCAGCCTTTAGTTGTAAGCTTGCGTTATCTGTCCAAAAAGCTGATTTGACAGAGAGGCATACCATAGAATCTATAATTTATCTGTTTTTATCATCTCTGTTACAGCAGTTTAGCCTCATAGTGGGTGATAACATAGATAGGATGTTACTACAATGGACCTGCACTACAACACAGAGTCAGCAGAAGAGGAAGGAGGGAGAGAGGGAGGAGGGAGGGAGGGAAGAGGGAGGAGGGAGGGAAGAGGGAGGAGGGAGGGAAGAGGGAGGGAGGGAGGGAGGGAGGAAGGAAGGAAGGAAGGAAGGAAGGAAGGAAGGAAGGAAGGAAGGAAGGAAGGAAGGAAGGAAGGAAGGAAGGAAGGAAGGAAGGAAGGAAGGAAGGAAGGAAGGAAAGAAGGAAAGAAGGAAAGAAGGATGGAAGGATGGAAGGATGGAAGGAAGGAAGGAAGGAAGGAAAGAGAAAGATTAAGGGACAGAGACAGAGACAGAGACAGAGACAGAGACAGGTAGAGAGAAAGAGACAGACAGAGAGGTAAAAGGGTATAGAAGGAGGTACAGAGGTAGAGACTTTGTGTTGCGGTTGAGAAGCAGTGAGGTGCTACAGGTGGGCCTACTGTGATCACACGGTTAGATGGCTGGAGGGAGGGGTGAGGAAGAGGAGGAGGAAGACGAGGCAGATGATATCAACATCATCATCATCAATCATCATCATCATGGTATCACAGTTTCCTACCCCGTGTCCTCTGTCCTCTCTCTCTTATATCTTAACAGTGTTGTTGGAGTACAGGCCGTAGCTCTGCAGCTCTGTGTAAGGAGCGGTAGCGCCCCCTGTGTCTAAGGCTGAGCACTGAAAGGTCTGAGCGACGGATGCGGCAGCGGCTCGCGTGGTGGACACCTTCATTCTCTGAGACTCAGTTCGCGACTTGTAGCAGAACTCCACCAACGCCACCAGCATGGCCAGGCCTAGCCCTCCAATCAGAATGTAGAACACTCCGGCCACGTTGCTCAGGCTCAACGCACTCGTCTTATCCTGGGGGGGGGGCGGAGAGAGACGGGGTGAGGAGGAGTGAGGGGAGGGGACATACATACATTACATACACACTGACACCATAGATACAAACACCATATAAGTAAATATTGACAAACACAGAAACACATACTAAATACATACTTTGCATACAAAAAAACATGCACAAACAGCATGCACATAGAGACAAACAAATGCGCACACACACACACACACACACACACACACACACACACACACACACCACACACACACACACACACACACATACAGACAGACTGACAGACAGGTGTCAGGACTCCCAGAAAACACATAACAGTTCTGCCCTGCTTAGTTAACTAACCCAAACGAAATACAGGTAGACAAGATAATACTCACTAAACAACACGTGCAACTTCATACTACTGATATTACTCTCTGGCTTCATTAAGAAACTATTTAAAATACTTAAACTAACTATTCTTTGAAACTAACTTGACATAGTAAATCGCCCACTCACTCTGCACTCAGACACACACGTAGTACTTGAATAGCTAGTCTAAGTTTATATCAATTTCCTTTCTTCATTTCTGAGGGGGTTTAGATCAAGTGCATTTTTCATTACAATAAAACTTGAGTCAAATCCTCATAAGATCCATGCATTCATGCAGCATTAATTTAACAGGCAGGAGTCTAAATTCACTTTAACCCACATATTGTGGGATGACCAGTTATCATGTTAGTCTACAGTATATATCCATCTAAAACATTTAAGTATATTTATTCTCTATTTATAACAGATAAACTCTGGTTATCATTCTGGGGTTGAGGGTTGAGGAGGGTTGAGGCCGTTGGATCATTCTCAGTGGTGAGAAACCATGCAGGTCAAGACAATCGGATCATTATCAAACTCCCTGATTCTGCTTTAGGGTTATGTTGGGTGTAGGGGGTTGCAAGCCTCACGAGACAGCCTGATCTGGCAAGCTTAATCATTTATGTATGCTTGCAGGATCAGGCTGGCTCGCGAGGCTTAGGGGTTGCTAGGCTGAATATTATCTGTAGGTTTCATTGGTTTTGGGTGGGGTGCACCTCTCACACTGGAGAGGGTAGAACCAGATCAGGCAGGCTGGGGTGGAGAGGACGTTTTGGGGTGTTTCAGGGCAGGGTCATGTTAGGAGACAGGGGTTAGAAGTGGTCTGAGCCTTTCACAGGGTCCGTCAGTCAAATAAAAATCATACACTCTCTCTCTCTCTACACTGACATCCAGGCTGCATCCAAAATGGCATCCTAAGTGCCCTGTATAGAGAATTAGGTTGCCATTTCAGACACAACTCAGTCCCATCGTGGTTCATGTAGATTCTAGAACCTTACTATGTTCTTTGTTGTCTTCTCTGCCCGTCTGCTTTACCACTCTGCTGACAACAGCTATGTGTTCTCTGCCCGTCTGCTTTACCACTCTGTTGACAACAGCTATGTGTTCTCTGTATGTTTCTATTATCTCTGGTTGATATTGGCTAGATCAGCAGAGTGCACTTTACAATAATGTACTTCAGCATAATGTAGTACTACACATCAGGAAATCTCATTCTGACTCTCTTACATGAGGGATGCCTGTGATTTCCCTCCTATATTACCTTGGCTATACCAACAAGATCGACCTCATATGTTAAAACAACCTCACAGATCAGTCGAGGGAAATAAAAAGTGAATGTTACGCTCTCTTCAAAGAACACTCATGCCTAATTGTATTGCTTAGAGGTACTGCGTACGCGGCTGATGTTCTGCAATAAGGAGCAGACAGTATATGTTCTTGTGTATCACAGCATATGATTTGATTTAACAACCGTAAACCCCACTGTTTCACCTCAACCATCAAGGTTAGTAGTTCATTCACTCCTTGGCCTCATTATGGAGAGAACATCAGTGTGGAGATAGAGAGAACAGTGATTGGCTCCGAGAGAGAGAGAGAGAGAGAGAGAGAGCGAGAGAGAGAGAGAGAGAGAGAGAGAGAGAGAGAGAGAGAGAGAGAGAGAGAGAGAGAGAGAGAGAGAGAAAGAGAGCGACAGAAATTGATTTTGAGTCCACCAATCTCAGTCACTATACTAATGAGAACCAGTGGCATGTCTAAGTGAACTGAGAGAGAGAGAGCGATAGTTTCAGACTGGTCTTGGATCAGGGGTTTTGAGGAGGATGTGAGGAGTGTTTGGGGTATAAGGACTGGTCTAGGATCAGGGGTTTTATGCGGGTGTGTTTGGGGGTATAAGGACTGAGTTATAGTGTGTGACTGACCTTGCGTCCGGAGTCGTTGCTGCCACACTCTCCTTTATCGTACCACCATTTGTTCTTTAGTTTGTCTAAGACGGCCTGCTCATTGAGCTTCAACACGGCTAGGTTTACCGGGATCCTGCACGTACACCCACACCACACCCAGGGCAGGGCAGGGCAGGGCCATAACATAAATAACATAGCATAACATATGTTATCTTATGTCAGTCATTCAGAACATTTCCAATCATATACCACATCTACGCACCAAGGTTTACTGCACTTTAGCTGTGTCACTGGTAAGAAGTTTGAACCCTCACACACACGTTCACTCACAGGCAAATACATTAAGTACACATCAACATCATTAGGAACATACATGTACATCAGAGTCAAAGTGATATGTGTTAATACTCCATCTATCTCTGTGGGCTCTGTCTCCCTACTGTACTGTACGATAGTAGATGTGTATTACTATATCACTTTGGGTAACCGGCGCACTAGCTGTGGACCCTCTGTTACGGAACACAACACGTCAGAAAATATTCTGATTCTGGATTCTATTCCCCTTTAAAAGCTGTAGGAGTGTCTAGTTAGTAGGACATGCTTGGGCACAGAGATACAAACAAACCCAATTCTGCTCTTTGTGTCTGTTGAATCTTCAGTGAGGCCATTTGTATCAGCTTGACAGGGATCCTACGCATGAATGCATGCTATCCTTACTTATTCATGAGAATAGTGTAAGGGAGGGGCTACTAAAATACAAACTGTGCCAATTCCAGACACCCTCCTCCCAGAAGGACTAGAGTAGGTTATCTTGGAGAGAGTATGATGTCTCTCTGTAGTTTTAAGTTGGCCCGTACACACAGAGTTGAAGCACCTGTTACCCTATGTGTTGAAGTTGGGGCCATAGACCTATCCATAGCTAGGGAGATATAAAATATAATGTGTCTCTCTTGTGTTTTAACCCCCCCCCCCTTTACCCACCATACAGAGTTGTCAGGAAGTGTTGCCATCCAGAGTGTCTGAGCAGCTTTGTGATTGGCCAGTTACCCCCCTGGTGGATCAGCGTGGTTGGTTGAAACAGGGTTCTGACCTTGGAGTCCCCGCCCCCGCTGCCACACTCGCCCTTGTCGTACCACCATTTGTTTTTCAGTTTGTCCAACAGGCCTTGCTCGTTCAGTTTTAACACGGCCAGGTTAACAGGGTTTCTTTAGAATGATAATAGATACAATCATAACTGGGTCAGTTTTACTGGGTTAGGAAATAGTACTGTATATTATGGACAGGTATATAAATATATATTTATACTGTACAGAGTGATTATGAAAATGTTGGAGCTATATTTTAATAGTGATAAGTGGGTTAGCATTTGAAAGAGTATATGGACAGGTACATAAATAGTCTGTACAGTGGTTCTGATTATGAATGTTGAATCGCTAGATTACACCACCTGCTTGGCTAAGACTATGGCGATATATGGAGTGAATATACTATGGAGCAGGGTTGATCTTGAGTTTGGGCATTCTAAATGCTTGATATACAGTATATTACTTATATATCTCAACGGACTGAAATGCTTGCTGGCCATACTTGAGTCAGGTTTAACCACATAGAGGACAGGACGTCTTAGAGGAGGGAGAGAGTAGATATCATGGAGAGATGCTTCAGATTTGGAAGCCTGCCTGCCTGTCTGTAGATGCTCAGGTCCTTTCAATGTTTCCACTATGCGGATATGGCTTGCTATGGAAATAGAGAACAAAAACCCCAAAAACCCCCTTTAGGACCGGAATTTAAAGGGGTCAAGAAAAATGAGGGGCCCCCTTTATAGCATTTGATCAAAACAAATATGTTTGTGGTTGAGTGTAAAATCCTTAGAGTACACTTACTCCTTTCCCAGCTGAAATTTATTAGCTAGAAAGGGAGGAGAAAACCAAAACCCCAAAAAGGTAAAAAAACAAAAAAAACAAGAAAAATAAAAAAGGCAAAAGAAGGGGGCCCAAAATAATAAAAGAAAAGGGGAAATTTCGTTAAACCTCTTAAAAAAGAAAAAAAGGGGGGGGGGGGGGAAAAAAAAAAAGGGGGGGGGAAACCTTTGGTCTCTTCTCTCTGCTATAAATTTATTTCTTTCGCTTCTCTCTCTTTTCGCTTTTTCTTCTTCTCTCTCTTCTTTCTTTTTCAGTATAACCCCTTGAATTCTTCTATCCAGGTTAGAGTCAGACATGGAGTTTTTGTGTTTATTCAGATATTAATTACCCTGTTGGTGGGTTAGACTTTAGAGATCGAGTAGATGAGGCTACAGAGTGCTTGGTGGTGGGTTAGAGGTTAGAGGTCGAGTAGATGAGGCTACAGAGTGCTTGGTGGTGGGTTAGAGGTTAGAGGTCGAGTAGATGAGGCTACAGAGTGCTTGGTGGTGGGTTAGAGGTTAGAGGTCGAGTAGATGAGGCTACAGAGTGCTTGGTGGTGGGTTAGAGGTTAGAGGTCGAGTAGATGAGGCGGCAGAGTGCTTGGTGGTGGGTTAGAGGTTAGAGGTCGAGTAGATGAGGCGGCAGAGTGCTTGGTGGTGGGTTAGAGGTTAGAGGTCGAGTAGATGAGGCGGCAGAGTGCTTGGTGGTGGGTTAGAGGTTAGAGGTCGTGTAGATGAGGCTACAGAGTGCTTGGTGGTGGGATGGGGATAGAAGGCAGGAATGGGGTTAAAAGAGGAGTGGGTTTTCCCAACAGCCTTCGTAGCTTAAGAAGTATGTTACAGTATTTCAAGAATCAAGCCACATCTCAAACATCAAATGGCTTCAGCTTCATTTTACAAATGTAAATTGTTCATCCATACCATAGAAGATGTAGACTACCATCAAACATTGATTTTATAATAGTTATTGTCTCGCACCTGGTGCAGCTGTGTTGGGGAGATAACATACTACTTGAGCTACCAAGGTTGTAGCTAACCCACCCGAGAACAATACATTGTACAGTACACATCAGAGATGGAGCTAGGACAAGGTCAAAATACAACAACAGTATTTCACAGTAGTGAAGAAGTCTTCAGGCTAACAACAGTTGAGATCCTGTCAAATGAAGAGTTGTTAATGTAGCAACTCTGAGAGATGAATTCAATCAAACTGGCATCGTATCTCATATTGACTGTACTTAAATAATACTGTAGAATGGTTTCAGAAACTGTGAGAATATTCAGTAGACTCTCCTCACAGGTATATGCTTATAGATTCAGAACGTGTCCTGTGTGAGAACCAAGATACTGTATGTCAGCAGGCAACACCTCTAAGGCACATTTGATTGAACAGAGCCCTCAGTAAACAAAAAAGGGGGTGTTCACTAATTTCTGATTCGGACAGAGAAGAAATACACAATTTATAATTGGCATGGCTTCATTTGCCCACATCTTAAGTGGCTAGACAGAACAATGGCATCTCAATGAAGGAGACCATTCAGTCTGAAATAGTCTCAGACTCCCTTACAAAACATTATCTGAGTAATGATCTTCTCTGTCAGTATCAGACATCTGTGAATACCACCGACCACACTCTCAGTGTGTGTGTGTGTGTGATCTTAGACCGGTGGGGGGAGAGAGAAGGAGTTAGGAGTGTGTGTGTGTGAGTGAGTGAGTGAGTGAGAGAGAGAGAGAGAGAGAGAGAGAGAGAGAGAGAGAGAGAGAGAGAGAGAGAGAGAGAGAGAGAGAGAGAGAGAGAGAGAGAGAGAGAGATGGATTGTGAGTGAGGACCTTCGCTGTGTGCAGGCAGCCTACTGAGACAGTCCACTGAATGACTATTCAATGACACTAAATGAAATCTCCCCATAGGAGACTTCTCATTAAAATAAATTGAGATGATTATGATTGAATAAATTGAGATGATTATGATTGAAGTGAAAGCTCCACTTGACCCCTCCAAGCCCTTTATGGAACAGAATAAATGTAAGACATGGACTGTAGTCATGAGAGGTGAGGTTAGGCGGTGTTGAGTTGTCTGCTGTTATCATCTAATACAAATAATGACAAATACAAAATCAGTTTTTCTAATCATTTCACATCAAAGCCTCACAACATCAGTCTGCATTGATGATCTGAGTGCTTACAGGAGTAGTAGTGAAACCACTACACAGATGTCTGTTTAAATGTAGTCCCACATAGAGCTTCTGCCCAGATACATTGTGTGTGTGTGTGTGTGTGTGTGTGTGTGTGTGTGTGTGAGACAGGGTGAGACAGAGAGAGAGCGAGGGAGAGAGAAAGAGAGGGAGAGAGAGTAGTTTAGGCTTCAAAGGAAGCAGGCCAAATAAAACTGCACTAGAACACAACAACACGAGCCTCAGACTGTGAGAGGAGAGAGGAGAACAGAGGAGAGAGGAGAACATAGGTGAAGAGAACAGAGGAGAACCGAGGAGAGAGGAGAACAGAGGAGAACAGAGGAGAGAGGAGAACATAGGTGAGGAGAACAGAGGAGAACCGAGGAGAGAGGAGAACAGAGGAGAACCGAGGAGAGAGGAGAACAGAGGAGAGAGGAGAAGAGAGGAGAGAGGAGAGAGGAGAGAGGAGAGAGGAGAACAGAAGAGAGAGGAAAAGAGAGGAGAGAGGAGAACAGAGAAGAGAGGAGAACAGAGGAGAACAGAGAAGAGAAGAAAGGAGAGTCGAGGGGAGTAGAGGAGTATAAAGGAGAGGAGAACTAGTGTTTCTGAAGGAAGGAGGAAAGAAAGGGGAGGGTCAGATTTCCACAGACAACTTCTGTAAGCACTCAGAGTCCGGTCAGCCTGACCAAACCCCAGGTGGTGGATGTCAAGGGCTTAGCAAGGCTTCAGCTCTCACAGACACAGAGATATACAGCTCTGCAATACTCATAGAGGTTACACAGACACATAGATATACTGCTCTGCAGTAGTCATAGAGGTTACACAGACAGAGATATTCAGCTCTACAGTACACACTTAGAAAAAGTGTTTCAAACGGTACTCTATGACTACAGTCTTAGAAAAAAAGGTACTCTCTGGAACTTAAAATGGTTATTCGGCTGTCCCAATAGGAGAACCCTTTTGGGTTCCATGTAGAACCCTCTGTGGAAAGGATTTTACATGGAACCAAAAAGGATTCTACCTGTAGCCAAAAAGGGTTATTCAAAGGGCTCTCCTATGGGGACAGCCAAAGAACCATTTTAGGTTCTAGAGAGCACCTTTGTTTCTAAGATTGTAGTCATAGAGTTTACGTCAAAATGCCATGGTGAAAATATAAAGACACCTTTTAACATTAGGTCATGCATGCTGCTTATGACACTGATACAACAGTGTGTCATACAGGGCCAAGTGTTTGATGTTTATAGTGGTTGCATCCCAAATGGTACCCTATTCCCTACATAGTCCACTACCTTTGACCAGAACCCTGTGGGCCTTGGTCAAAAGTAGTGCACAATATAGGGAAAAGGGTGCCATTTGGAATGCATCCAGTATCTCCATAAAAACAACATTCATGCAAAAAAAGATGCCTAAGCCATTTCGAGCTCCGAGGCAGAGGTGTAGTTACACGTTATTACCTGAGGGAGGAGCCCTTGGGCGTGGCGATGCCGTATCCTTTAGAGTCCAGGTTCCCTCCGACCTTCATGGTGTCACAGGGTTTCCTCTGCTCGATGTACTCGTTCATGGTGGACTCTAACAGGTAGGCGTACTTCCCTTTAGACTTCCTGACCCTCATCACTCCCTCGTCTGTGGTCTTCACAAACACTGAGGGGTCGGCCGACTTCATGTACGACCACATCTTCTCAAACACTGCAATCTTAGACCGCTGGGGAGAGAGGAGGGGTTAGGATTGTGTGTGGGGGGAGGGGGATCTGTGTGTGTGTGTGTGTGTGTGTGTGTGTGTGTGTGTGTGTGTGTGTGTGTGTGTGTGTGTGTGTGTGTGTGTAAACTGCATGTACATGCTAGTCAAACAGGTGTGTGTCTATGACTAAACCACAGGTCTCACCCTGAAGAACTCTTTGGTGGAACCAGCATCCAGTGTTCCGTAGGCGATCTCAGTCTGTTTAGCCAGGTCCTCAGCACTCTCTATGGGGGAAACCATCCTCTCCACCGTGAGGAAAGCAGCCAGGTTGGCCGTATAGGATGAGATGATGATGAGGGTGAAGAACCACCACACGCCACCCACTATTCGCCCTGACAGAGACCTAGAGGGAAAAACACCCGGAGACAGGAGTTAGAGACAGGCCTACATACGTACCTACACACACAACCCCTAGGATACGCCCAGCTAGACTTGAAGGGAGAAGGACATAAGGGAGACCTACAAAAATAAACTAATCTGCATAACTCTCCATTAGGATAGACCTCATTCAGTTGCATATACATTACAACAAACCAAACCAAAGCCTCTGCCTGTCACATGACTCTGACCTATCTAGCGTCACATGACATTATCCATCCTCCAGCCCCACTCCCTACAGAACAGCAGGTCTCTGTCTCATCAACAGACACCCTGGCTGTGTCCCAAACGGCACCGTATTCCCTTTATACAGTAGTGCACTACTTTTGACCAGGGTCCATATATAGGGAATAGGGTGCCATTTGGGATGCACCCGCTGCCTCCCCCATACTGTACTTCCATCAAGGCTCTGGGAGAGCTGTGTTAAATGTGCTGAGGCAAGATAACAGAGCATCACAAAGGAACTACACCAGATTCATCTCACCTTAAGGAAGTTGACAGTGTGTTTCACGGATCCACAAACATGAATTGGTGGTGATTAATAATGAGAGGAGGAAGAGGAGGTCACAGCTGTCATTTTGGTATTTGGTATTTTATTAGGATCCCCATTAACCGCTGCAAAAGCAGCAGCTTCTCTTCCTTGGGTCCACATCAAACATGACATAATACATCGTAAAGAACATTATTAGTCAAGGACTGAAATACATAAACTTAAAACGTCACACATAGCCTACATATCAGTACATACACACAATATCTAGGTCTAATACATAGTACAGTGCAAATTACAATACAATATATATAAAATGGCTGTGTCTCTTCACAGTCCCCTTTGTGCAGTAAGGTGTTCTTTTATCTGTTTTCAAACTGGTTTTATTGCCAGCTTGAGTTACCTGGGGTGGCAGAGAGTTCCATGTAGTCATGGCTCTATTTAATACGGTGTGTTTCCCAGCCTCTGTTCTGGACCTGGGGACTGTGAAAGACCTCTGGTTGCATGTCTTGTGTTGTACCGATGAGTGTCTGTACTGTGTGCCAACTGCTTGAACAGACAGTTTGGTACCTTCAACACATCAATACCTCGCACAAAGACCAATAGTGACGTAGTCAAACTCTCCTCAACTTTGAGCCAGGAGAGACTGACATGCATGTTACTGACACTTTTCCTAAGTGCGATACGTGCTGCTTTGTTCTGGACCAACTGCAATTTACCTACACTACCGTTCAAAAGTTTGGGGTCATTTAGAAATGTCCTTGTTTTTGAAAGGAAATAAAAACAATTGTCCATTAAAATAACATCAAATTGATCAGAAATACAGTGTTGTCACGCCCTGACCTATAGAACTCTTGTTTGTTGAGTCAGGGTGTGGAATTCTATGTTAGACATTCTATGTTTAGGTTCTAGTTTTTTTATTTCTATGTCTGGCCAGGTATGATTCCCAATCAGAGGCAGCTGTCGCTCATTGTCTCTGATTGGGGATCATACTTAGGTAGCCTATTGTCTACTGTGTATTGTGGGATCTTGTTCCTGTTAGGCTTGTGTGTGTGTATAGCCCTTTGGACTTCACGTTACGTTGTTTCTTGTTTTGGTTTGTATGTTTATTGGGTGAATAAACATGTACGCTTTTCACGCTGCACCTTGGTCCGACCCGTTTCTCAACGATCGTCACAGAAGATCCCACCAAACGAGGACCAAGCAGCGTGGCCAGGAGCAGACATCCTGGACATGGGAGGAGATCCTGGATGGTAAGGGATCTTGGACATGGGAGGAGATCCAGGCTGGGATGGATTGCCGTCCTTGGGAACAGACAGAGGAAGCCCGGGTAAGAGAGGAGCAACGGCGACACCGACGGCGCCGGCCGAGGAGGAAGCCCAAGAGGCAGCCCCAAGATAATTATTTGGGTGGGCTAAAGGGGTGGTCGGGGATCGAGAGAGAAGAGCCCCGACCACTGCACCCGGTAGAGTTCCAGGTTGAGTCCCTACGACCATGGTAACAGGAATGGGAACAGTTTTATACTGAGGAGTCGGAGGATGACGACGTGGGGGCTCCCGGAGGAGTCCTCACTGGAGGAGGATTGGGCGCGGAGAGTAAAGGACTGGTACAGTCGTAGACCTCCAGCGCCGGTTCCAGTCCGGTACGCCTCGTGCCTGCTTCTCGCCCCAAGCCAGTGGTGCGTGTCTCCAGTCCGGTACGGCCCGTACCTGCTCCCCGCACCAAGCCAGTGGTGTGTGTTCCCAGTCCGGTAAGGTCCGTGCCTGCTCCTCGCACCAAGCCAGTGGAGCGTGCTCCCAGTCCGGTAAGGTCCGTACCTGCTCCCCGCACCAAGCCAGTGGAGCGTGCTCCCAGTCCGGTAAGGTCCGTACCTGCTCCTCGCACCAAACCAGTGGCGCGTGTTCCCAGTCTGGTACGGCCCGTACCTGCTCCTCGCACCAAACCAGTGGCGCGTGTTCCCAGTCCGGTACGGCCCATACCTGCTCCTCGCACCAAACCAGTGGTGCGTGTTCCCAGTCCGGTACGGCCTGCTCCTCGCACCAGACCAGTGGCGCGTGTTCCCAGTCCGGTATGGCCCGTACATGCTCCTCGCACCAAACCAGTGGCGCGTGTTCCCAGTCCGGTACGGCCCGTACCTGCTCCTCGCACCAAGCCAGTGGAGCGTGCTCCCAGTCCGGTAAGGTCCGTACCTGCTCCTCGCACCAGACCTGTGGTGCGTGTCTCCAGTCCGGCCCGGCATGTGCCTGCTCATTGCACCAGACCTGTGGTGCGTGTCTCCAGTCCGGCCCGGCCCGTTCCTGCTCCTCGCACCAGACCTGTGGTGCGTGTCCCCAGTCCGGCCCGGCCCGTTCCTGCTCCTCGCACCAGACCTGTGGGACTCCTCTTACCGGACTGGGAACACGCACCACTGGCTTGGTGAGGGGAGCAGGTACGGGCCGTACCGGATTATTGCAGACAATACCCACGGAGCTAACAGTTAAAGGAATATAGATTAGGTTACTTACATTTACTGCTCTTCTATTTCTCTGGGATATAATAGGATTTCCATGTCCTCGGTTGCTTATTATGGCAGGGAGGACTGGAGTGCTACCAAACCCAGACCGTCAGTCTCTTAAACAGTTCGTAAAGGGCGTTTCAAAAACCAACCACTGATTTGCTGGAAGTCAATTCCCCCAGGACCTTTCTCTGTGTCCCAAATGGCACCTTATTCCTTTTATAGTGCACTACTTCTGACCAGGGCCATGTGATAGGCCATATAGGGAACATGGTACCATTTGGCCTGTACCTCTATCCCTCTGCCTCAGAAGAGCACTACTGAGCACCAACGATTAAGTGTATCTCTGTTACGCACTATTCTCCTCTCTGGTACGTCAGACAGAGAGAGTACAGGACAGAGAGAGTACAGGACAGAGAGAGTACAGGACAGAGAGAGTACAAGACAGAGAGAGATGGGGAGCTTTTATGTGATCAAAAATAAGCTGAAGTGAAACAAAAAGGGTTCAGTCTTCCTGCAGTTAGTGAAGTAGAACATTAAAAGGAAGGAGAGATTGAACAAGAGGAAAAAAAACACATTTTAGGAGAGAAGAGAAGAGAGAAGATGGGAGGATGATGAAAGAGTTAGAAGACCTGAGAAAAGAGGGAAAGAAAGGGGTATGAGTGAAAGAGAAGAGGGAGCGTGTGTGTGTGCCTGTGTGTGTGTGTGTGTGTGTGTGTGTGTGTGTGGAGACCTACCACTGTTTAGCCTGTGAATTCTTGAGCAGGCTTTAGAAAGAGCAGGATCTGTCTGCATGTCTGCCTGTCTGTCCAGCTGTGTCTGTCTTGGTATCTTGTATCATGTATCATTTCTCTGACTGTCTGTCTCTCTCTCTCTTTGTCTGTCTGTCTGTATGTCTCTCTCTCTCTCTCTCTCTCTCTCTCTTCCTAACACTCTCACCCTCCTCACTCTCTATTATCTTTTCTCTCTCCCTCCATCTCATCCTCTCCTTCGCTCTCTTGTCTATGAACAGTCTAATTAGTACTAATCAATCATCACTTGTCCAACACATAAACCCCATGTTACCCCATACTGTCCAGCAGTGGTTCTCAAAGTGGGGTCCAAAGTCCTGCAGGGGGTCTGCGGCAAGATCACAAAATATAAAATACATTGAACAAAAATATAAACGCAACATGCAACAATTTCTAAGATTTTACTGGGTTACAGTTCATACAGTGCCTTGCAAAAGTATTCATCCCCCTTGGCATTTTTCCAATTTTGTTGCATTACAACTTGTAATTTAAATGGATTTTTATTTGGATTTAATGTAATGGACAAACACAAAATAGTCCAAATTGGTGAAGTGAAAAGCTCCACAGCGGAGATTGGAGTATCTGTCCATAGGACCACTTTAAGCCGTACACTCCACAGAGCTGGGCTTTACGGAAGAGTGGCCAGAAAAAAGCCATTGCTTAAAGAAAAAAGTGTTTGCCAAAAAGCATGTGGGAGACTCCCCCAAACATATGGAAGAAGGTACTCTGGTCAGATGAGACTGAAATTGAGCTTTTTGGCCATCAAGGAAAACGCTATGTCTGGCACAAACCCAACACCTCTCATCACCCCAAGAACACCATCCCCACAGTGAAGCATGGTGGTGGCAGCATCATGCTGTGGGGCTGTTTTTCATCGGCAGGGACTGGGAAACTGGTCAAAATTGAAGGAATTATGGATTGCGCTAAATACAGGGAAATTCTTGAGGGAAACCTGTTTCAGTCTTCCAGAGATTTGAAACTGGGACGGAGGTTCACCTTCCAGCAGGACAATAACCCTAAGCATACTGCTAAATCAACACTCAAGTGGTTTAAGGAGAAACATTTAAATGTCTTGGAATGGCCTAGTCAAAGCCCAGACCTCAATCCAATTGAGAATCTGTGGTATGACTTAAAGATTGCTGTACACCAGCCGAACCCATCCAACTTGAAGGAGATGGAGCAGTTTTGC